AACAAGGGAGGAGCAGGTGTGGGCCTGCACCCTGGGAGGCTGAGAGAGAAAGGGGGAGGGTGCAAGGGGTGAGAGAAGAGGGGCCTGAAATCAAATGTTATTTACTAACTAGTGTGGGCTGAATGGGCTCTGTCAACAACTCCCAGAAACTGCCACCCTAATTTTATCCCCCTGGCTGAAGCACAACTCCTCCCTCAGGGACAGTGTGGGGCCTTGGGGAGGAAGCCCTGAGCTTCTGTACCCAGCAGGGGTGGCTGCTATGCCTGATGAAGCCCCCACCAAGGTCCTCTGACTTTCTTATCTTTAGGGCTCCACCTCTGCCCTAATCCTGGTGACCTTCCTCTCCCCACCCAGGATCCCCTCCTCTGAATATGCCAGAGCAGTGAGGTCCTTAGAGAGTATCAAGTCCAACTCCCAGGTATTACAGATAGGAAAACCGAGACCCAAAGAGGGCAAGGGACTTGCCTAAGGTTCCTTAGTGAGGTGAGGGCAAATAAGAGCAAGAGATGGCCTAGCCTGGTGGTAGGTCACTGTACAAGGAAGTCAGAGCTTGGCTCTGTCTCTGGCATTCTGTGTGGCCTTGGGGAGCTCACTATTCATGAAATTTTCAATAAGTCTGAACCCTATGTCTATAGTGTTGCTGCAGAATGTCAGACGTGTGTTTTTCTAACAGTAGCATTTAATAAGAGATGAATTTGAATATCTAAAGTCGGGTGTACAGTGTCCAGTTGGCTACAGGCCTCACCGCTCCTAAACAGGCATTGCACCCTTCACACGCCCGGTTATCTGCCTGGCTGCTGAAGGAATCTGAGCAATCCCAAGAGGACCCCTTATCAAAATGTGTCCTGCCCACCTCCAGCCTGTCCCATTCCTAAGAGAATGCAGGCTAGAGACTGAGACATTGCCTGCATCCCTCCTCTCTCTCATGTCAGAGAAGAAGGTACAGGAAGTTGAATCCTCTTGAATGCCCACTTCTCACCCACTCCCCAAGTCCCCAGATTCCATGGAGGTCCTCAGGGGTCTCGTACATCCCAGTGTTGTCCAATTGATCTGGGAACATCAACACCCACCCAAGCACAATGTGAAAGTTAGCCCAGCCGGTGTGGCTCACTGGTGAGCATTGACCCATGCACCAAGTGGTCGCCAGTTCGATTCCTGGTCAGAGCACATGCCCAGGTTGTGGGCCATATCTCCAGTGGAGGCCAAGCAAGAGGTGGCCAATCAGTGTTCTCTCTCATTGATGTTTCTGTCTGTCTCTCCCTCTCCCTTCCTCTCTCTCTAAAATCAATAATAATAAAAAAATATATTTTTTAAAAAATGAAAGCGAGCCCTGGCCAGTTTGGCTCAGCAGTTAGAGTGTCTGCCTGCGGACCAGAGAGCCCTGTGTTCGGTTCCCGCTACGGGCATGCAGTTTGTCCCCGGCCCTGGTTGGTCGTGCGGGTGGCAGCCACTCGATGTGTCCCTTTCATGTCGATGTTTCTCTCTCTCTTTCCCTCCCCCTCCCACTCTATCTGAACAAAAAAAAAAAAAAAGAAAGAAAAAATGTCCTTGGGTGAGGATAAAAAAATGAAAGTGAGTTTAAACATAAAGTGAAGGGACTGTCTGAGACGTTGGAGAGTTCTGGTTATGAGAGTTTCCTCATTGTTATCAGAGTCAGGGCTGGAGATCAGAGAGCAGGCGAGTCCTTACTGCTGTGGTGTGATGGTGGTGGTGATGGTGAACAGATAGCCTCCACTCACGGAGTGTTCTCCATGCTGGGCACTGTGCCAAGCACCTTGCCCCTATTTAGCTGATAAGGAAATAAGCAACCCACAAGGCCACACGGCTATGAAGTTGAAACATAAACTGCCATTTTTAAAGGTCAAAAATTGGCAATTTATTATTATTTTTGTTGTTGTTGTTTACCTTTCCCAGAGGAACTTTTTTTCCATTGATTTTCAGAGAGAGTGGAAGGGAGGGAGGGAGAGCGAGAATCATCAATGTGAGAGAGACAGGTCGATGGGTTGCCTCCACACGACCCCACTGAGCCAAACCAGCAGGGCAAATATTGGCAATTTAATATGCTTTAACCTAATAGGGACTGATAGGGCTGCAATCACACAGAACTGTCTAACTCAAAGTCCATGCTTCTTTTCCTTTTCTTTGTTTAAAGTTGTTTATGATATACCCCTGGTTGTAAAAAATTTAAACACTGAAATTTTTTTTAAAAAGTAAAACTTTCCCAAACCAGAGATAACATCCATAGGGGAAAAAAACTTCCCTCAAGATCTCTCCAGGCATTTATACACATGTAGAAATAGTGGGCTTGTTGATAAAATAGTCTTTCCTATTCAGAGTGATTGTGCGCATGAGACCACTGGATTCTAGCAGTCTCACAAAGGTGGTATGATTATTTTCCATTTAACACATGAGAAAACAAACAGGGCAGATAGTGTTTCAGTTAATAGCACAGGCTTCAGAGCAGACCCTCTAGGTTTAAATCCTGCTCTACCAACTGAGGCAAGTCTGCATCAGTTTTCACAGCTGTAAAATTGTAATAATGACAGCACCCACCTTGAGGGTCATTGTGAGAACTAAATGAGATCGTCTGTAAAATGATTGAAACAGTGTTGGTACAGGGTAACCACTTAATAAATGTAGGCTGTTATTAAAGCTCAGAGATGTTTGCCCTGGCCGGTTTGGCTTAGCGGTTAGAGTGTCGGCTCGCAGACTGAAGAGTCACAGGTTTGATTCCAGTCGAGGGCATGTACCTTGGTTGCAGTTAGGTCCACGGCTCCGGTTGGGGTTGTGTGAGAGGCAGCTAATTGATGGGTTTCTCTTACATCAATGTCACACCCCCCCAACCAACCCAATCTGAAGACAAATGGAAAAGTATCCTCAGCTGAGAATTTAAAAAAAAGCTCAGAGATGTTAAAGAATGAGATTAAGACCACAGAGCTGGAAGTGCCAGAGCCCTGATTTGAACCCAAGCTTGTCTAGTTCTGGAGGCCAGGCTGCTTACCATTTATCAGGCCCGGAATTAAATTAAAGCATCCACCCTTTGTCTCTTGCTGGACCTCTCCCTAACATTAGCTAAGTCTCCTGCACTCACCTGCCACAGCAGCCCCTGCACCGGCTCTAGCTGGGAAGGTGTGGGTCACCCAGATGGCTCTGGTGCTGTCCGCTGGCCCACCAGGCCTGTCTCAGCAGGTGGCAAAGGGAGATGGCTGTTTTCTGCAAAGATCATTTGGTTTTTGCCAACAGAACCTCTGGGCCTGCTTCCCCTCCCTCATTTCTGCATGACCTGAGCCAAGCCACTGGCTTCTGTGGCCTTATTTCCTCGTGCTCATGATCAGGAGGTTGAACCTGATCTTCAATAGCGCAGTAATTACCTCTACTGAGTGTCAGCTTCATGCCAAGCACTGGTCCTGATGCTCTATGCTTGTTCACATCATTATGTTTAATAATAACAATAATTGCTACATTTCCTGAGCACTCACGATGCACTAAGCAGGCCCTGACTTTGTGCTTAACCAATTTAGGTCATCTAATCCTACCCTTAACTCTGCCTAGTATGTAAATACTGTCCCTATTAATCAGATGAGAAAACTGAGGCTGAAAGAGGTGAAGTAACTTTACCAAGCACTCTCAAATGATTTTTTTTTATCCTCACCTGAGGACATTTTTGCATTTATCTTCAGATAAAGTGGGAGGGAGAGAGGGAGGAAGAGAGAGAGAAAAACATCGATGTGAGAGAGACACATTGAGTAGCCGCCACCCAAATGACCCCAACCAGGGCTGGGGACAAACTGCAACTGAGGTATGTGGCCCTAGTGGGAACCGAACCCGGGACTTTCCAGTCTGCAGGCCGATGCTCCAACCGCTGAGCCAAACTGGCCAGGGCTCAAATGATCTTTAATGTCCCTTCCAGCTGCCATTCTGTAAAACTAATTTCATACAACCCTCTACCTCAGCGATTTTCATTGGATGTGCAGCAAGAATTTTTAAAACATGCAATACCTGACTATTGAGTCAGGGCACTGACCTCTTTTCCCTTAGCTTATCAAATTAAAAAAATGACAACAGTCTGACCAGTGTGGCTCAGTGGTTGAGTGTTGACCTGTGCATCAAGAGGACATGGGTTCAATTTCAGTTCATGCCCAGGTTGCAGGCTAGATCCCCAGTAGGAGGTATGCAGGAGGCAGCTGATTGATGTATCTCTCTCATATTGATGTTTCTATCTCTCCTTCTCCCTTCCTCTCTCTCTAAAAAATCAATAGTATATATGTTTTTAAAATGACAACAGCCGCCCCGGCCGGTTTGGTTCAGCGGTTAGAGCGTCGGCCTGTGGTCCTGAGAGACCCGGGTTCGGTTCCTGCTAAGGGCGCGTACCTCGGTTGCAGTTTGTCCCCGGCCCTGGTCGGTCGTGCGGGTGGCAGCCACTCAATGTGTTCCTTTCACATTGATGTTTCTCTCTCTCTCTCTGTTCCTCTCTCTCCCTCCCACTCTACCTGAACAAAAAATGGAAAAAAATAAATAATAAATAAAATGACAACAGCCAACACAGCAGTTGTCCAGTGTGAATGAATCAAAATTATATCTATTTTTTTGTCAGATCAGCAGAAAATAGAGTATATTTTTTGTCTTTTTTTTTTAATCCTTACCTGAGGACATTTTTTGCATTCATCTTCAGATAGAGCGAGAGGGAGAGAGGGTGGAAGAGAGAGAGAGCAAAGCATCAACGTAAAAGAGACACATCAACTGGCGGCCACCCACATGACCCCAACCGGGCCAGGGACAAACTGCAACCAAGGTATGTGCCCTTAGTGGGAACCGAACCCAGGTCTCTCTGGACCGTGGACCAACACTCTAACCACTGAGCCAAACCAGCCAGGGCTAGAATGTATTTCTTGGTGTGCCGCAGAATTTTAGTAATTAGTTTGTGTGTGCCATGAGATTAAAAAGGTAAAAAGGTTAAAAATCGCTGCTGCACCTCATCTGCTTCTGTTCCTCCTCCTCAGTATCTCCTCCCTTAGCTGTCTTTCGCGATGTTACCATTATGGCAGCCCTGGGCTTGGGCTTCCTCAACTCGTCTTTGTGGAGATACGGCTGGAGCAGCGTGGCCTTCAACCTCTTCATGCTGGCCCTCGGAGTACAGTGGGCAGTCCTGCTGGATGGCTGGCTGGACCAGCTGTCCTTTGGGAAAGTGGTCATCGAACTGTCCAGGTAACCTGATGGCTGCTGGGTCGCTTTTGGGTTCTTGAGGGTATGGGGCCCGAAAGGGTGGGTTCTAGAAAAGCCAGACGTTCCCTTGTCTTTCTAGCACCAAAACCATGCAGTATTTAGAATATACTTATACTAGTAAATTGCTCATTTGTTTATCTAAAATGGCAGTGTAACCGGGCATCCTGTATTTGGTCTGACAACTCTAGAACTACACCTCTCCCTAGGTCCTTTCTTTATTATTGAGTATGATTTTGTAAAGTTACCCAGTCAATATGGGTTCAAAGAAAAATTAATGGAGATAAGACAAAAAGAAATAGAAATTTCCCACTCAGAAAGACAGATTTTGAAAAGAAAGAAGTACTCTTAGTCCTCAAATGATGATCAACAAGAAATAGGCGTGCCTTAATTTCTTTAAATTAATTTTGATCCATTTAGATGCATTTATATGAAATTCTAAGAACCAGCAAAATTAACGTATGTTACTAGAAGAATAATGGTTACATGGGGAAAAAATACTCGGCGGCTATTGATTAGGAAGGGGCACAAAAAATCTAATGGAGTATAGTAGATGTTCTCTATATTATCTTGGGTAATGGTTACACATGGGTATATATATCTATCTATCCAGCTATACACTTTTTAAAAACGATATTAGCTGCCCTGGTTGGTTTGGTTCAGCAGTTGGAACATCGGCCCTTGGACTGAAAGGTAACCAGTTTGGTCCCCCGTCAATGGCACATATCTGGGTTGCGGGTTCCATTCCCAGCCCTGGTTGGAATCGTGCAGGAGGCAACCAATCAATGTGTCTCTCTCACGTCGATGCCCCCCCACCCCACCCTGCCCACCCACCCTCCCTTCCACTCTATCTTAAAAAAAAAAAAAAAGGTCAATGGAAAAATATCCTCAGGAGAGATTAACAACAAAAACAAAAGAATAATATTAGCACTTGACAGGAGGAACATGGTTAAATTTTTCCTTAAATATTATTATTTTTTGTTTGTTTTATAAACCTCTGAATCTCTGTCCTGCCCAGATGATGGTAAATCCCATTTTAGGTGTCTCATGGACTCCGTCATCTCTCAAGGCCACGCCATGCTCCCCTCTAAGACCTTGCTAAGCCTCTGGGCATAGCTGTTGAACATCTGACTATGAGCCAGGCACTTGAGAAACATTATTTTGTGTAACCCTTCTAGTAGAGGTCTAACCTGGTGTACAGGCAAGGAAATAGGCTCAGAGAGTGTAAGGCACTTGCCTGGGGTCACACAGCTAAGTGGTGATGTGGCTTTAGGTTTAATTATCTATAACCCTTCCAGCACATTCCAAGTAGCCATGACACAAAACATAGTCTAGTCAGCTCCCTACTGGCCCTGAAAAAATACTCTGCATATTTTTTCTTCTAAAAAAGTTTTAGAGCTAATCCCCTTGAGGATTCAATAACGCCCTCCAACCCCCAACCCTGAGTAGACACATGGGAAGTGACAAAGGGCACTCTGGGGGACTCTGACAGTGGTGGCCCTGATCTGGTGTTTCTGCTGCCTGGGCATAAGGTCACACAAACTTGCAGCTTCCTGTGCCTCAGCTTACAGTCATCTCTGGGCTGATCCCTTCTTCTGCGGTCCTGCTCGCAAGGACCTGTTAATTCTTGACTCAGTCCAGAAAGACAAGAAGAGGTCATTTGCAGTCTGAGTGAATGTCCCTGCCCCACCTCTGACTAGTGGGATCCTCCCAGCTGTGACCCCTGCTGAGACGGGCATCACAGATTTGAACAATGGGTTTCTTCCTGACCTTTCCAGCTGGACTGAGCTGGTGGGTGGTGCCAAGGCCTGCCTCCCAAATGGGTACTCTCCCTCTCCCTCAGCCTCACCCACGCTGTGCAGCCTGACGTGGCACCAAATTGGTTCTGCCTTGAGTCACCCATGACCAGTTCCTTCAGGGCAGGGGCCTGTCTTAGTCAGATTTGTCCTTTGTTTTTCTCACAAAGCAAGGAATTCTAAATAATGTCTGGTCCCTGTAAGATTTCTTCCCTTGCTCTTTGCCCTCTGACCTTCCCTCTGAAGTCCTTGAGCCTTTAGCAAGACCCTGCATTTGCCAAACAATAGGGAGTCTGTGTCCAGACTTCAGAGCACAGACTTTGAATACAGGACAACTAGGCTTGAACCTCACATTTGTCATTAACTGGCTGTGTGCTCACTGCCAAAAATGTCTCTTCTTCTAGACTCATTTTCCTCTTCTGTAAAATGGAGGTGCTAAATGGTACCCTAGCATCATTTTCAGAGGGTTACTTGAAGGATTAACATTTAACTGAGGAAGTTCTAGCCAAAGCAATCCCATAAGAAAAAGAAATAAAAGGCACCGAAATCAGAAAGAAGTAAAATTGCATTATTTGCAGATAATATGATACCATATATAGAGAAACCTAAGGATTCCATCAAAAAACTACTGGAATTAATAAATTAATTCAGTAAAGTAGCAGGATGCAAAAAAATTTCAGAAATTGGTAGCGTTTTTATACCGCAATAATGAACTATCAAAAAAAGAAATTAAGAAAACCTCATTTACAATTGCATCAAAAATAAAATAAGCCTTGGCCAGTTTGGCTCAGCAGTTAAAGGGTTGACCCAAGGACTGAAGAGTTGCAGATTAGATTCCTGTTCAAGGGCACATACCTAGGTTTCAAGTTCGATCCCCAGCCCCAGTCAGGGTCGTGTGGGATGCAACCAATCAATGTATCTCTCTCACATTGATCTTTCTCTCTCTCTCTCTCTCTCTCTCTCCCTCGTCCCCCCTCTCTCTGTCTCCAACCCTCCCTTCCACTTTATCTAAAAATCAATGGAAAAATATCCACAGGCCAGGATTAACAAAATAAATAAATTAAATAAAATACTTAGGAATAAATTTAACCAAGAAACTAAAAGACCTGTACTCAGAAATTTATAAAACACTGAAGAAAGAATTTGAAGACGATACAAATAAGTGGAAGCATGCCATGTTCATGGATAGGAAGAATTAACATCATTAAAATATCACACTCCCCAAAGCAATCTATAGATTCAAGGCAATCTTTGTCAAATTACCAATGACATTTTTCACAGAATTAGAACAAATAATCCTAAAATTTATATGGAATCACAAAAAACCCCAAATAGTCACAGATTTCACAATCTTGAGAAAAAAAAGAATGAAGTTGGAGGTATCACATTATCTGATATCAAATTATACTACAAAGATATAGTAATCAAAACAGTATAATATGGCATAAAAACAGACACACAGATGAACAGAACAGAATAGAGAGCCCAAAAATAAATCCATGCCTATATTGTATGTTCAATTAATATATGACAAAGAATGCAAGAACATACAGTGAAGTAAAGACAGTCTACTCAATAAATGGTACTGGAAAAATTGGACAAGTATATGCAAGAAAAGAAAGAGAAAGAAAGAAAGAAAGAAAGAAAGAAAGAAAGAAAGAAAGAAAGAAAGAGAAAGAAAGAGGTAGGGAGGAAGGGAGGGGGGGAGGGAGGGAGTGAGGGAGGGAGGGACGGAGGGAGGGAGGGAGGGAAGGAGGGAAGGAAGGAAGGAAGGAAGGAAGGAAGGAAGGAAGGAAGGAAGGAAGAAAGAAAGAAAGAAAGAAAGAAAGAAAGAAAGAAAGAAAGAAAGAAACTAGTCCACCTTCTTCCACCATATAGAATAATAAACTCAAAATGGATTGAAAACTTAAATAAGACCTGAAACCATAAAAATTCTAGAAGAAAACTTAGGCAGTAAAACCTCTGACATTGCTCTTAGTAATATTTTTTCAGATATATCTCCTCAGGCAAGGAAAACAAAAGAAAAAAATAAACAAATGGAACTCCATCAAACTAAAAAGTTTTACACAGCAAAGGAAACCATCAACAAAACAAAAAGACAACTTACTGAATGGGAGAATATAACTGTCAATGATACATCTGATAAAGGGTTAATATCCAAAATTTATAAAGAATTTATACAACTAAACACCAAAAAATAAATAAAATAAAATAATGCAATGAATAAATAGGCAGAGGACCTGAATAGACATTTCTCCAAAGAGGACATATAGATGGCCAATAGACATATGAAAAGATGCTCAACATCACTAATCATCAGATAAATGAAAATTAAAACCACAATAAGATATCACCTGTCAGAATGGCTATCGTCAATAAATCAACAAACAACAAGTGTTAGTGAGACTGTGGAGAAAAGGGAACCCTTGTGCACTGCTGCTGGGATTGAAAATTGGTACAACCACTATGGAAAACAGTATGCAGTTTCCTCAAACAATTAAAAATAGAACTACCTCATAACCCAGCAATTTCACTTCTGGGTATATATCCTAAGAAATCCAAAACACTAACTTGAAAAGATATATGTATGCAACCCTATGTTCATTGCAGCATTATTTACAATAGCCAAGATCAGAAGTAGCCTAAGTGCCCATTAATGGACAAATGAATAAAGAAGATGGGGTCCATATATACAATAAAATATGACCTGGCCATAAAAAAGAATAAAATCTTACCATTTGCAAAAACATGGATGGACCTACAGGATATCATGCTAAGTGAAATAAGACAGAAAAGATGGCGGCAGGCAGGACTGGAGCGAGGGTGAGCATGTGAGAGTGAGCGAGTGTGAGAAACAGTGTGAGTGGACATGAGTATGGACAACCAACCTGGAGCAGAGCAGAAACGCGGGACAGAAGGTTCCTGTGCTGTGGACGGAAAGCAGCTGGCCACCATGGTAAGCAGCTCATCAGCAGCTTCTCCCTGGTGGCCAGGAGGCCCTGACATTTTGGTTCTTTTTTTATTTTGCATTTATCTTGAGACATAGCGGGAGGGGGAGAGGGAGGAAGAGAGAGAGAGAAACATCGATGTGAGAGAGACACATCAAGTGGTGGCCATCCACACACCCCAATTGGGGCCAGGGACAAAATGCAACTGAAGCATGTGCCCCCAGTGGGAACTGAACCTGGG